CCGAGATGGAGTTTCGCTCTTGTCACCCAGTCTGGAGTACAATGGTGCGACTTCAGCTCACTGCAACCTCCGTCTCCCGGGTTCAAGTGATTCTCCTGCCTCAGCCTCCCAAGTAGCTGGATTACAGGTGCCTGTCACTGCGCCTAGCTAATTTTTGTATTTTTAGTAGAGATGGGGTTTCACTATGTTGGCCAGGCTGGTCTCGAATTCCTGACTTCAGACAATCCACCTGCCTCAGCCTCCCAAAGTGCTGGGATTATAGGCGTGAGCCACCGTGCCCAGCTTAGTTCACTCATTTAAACTGCATAGTTCAATGACTTTCAGTATATTTACAAAGTTGTGTAACCATCACTACAATAAATTTTAGAATGTTTTCATCACCCAGAAACCTTAAACCCTTTAGCCATCACTCCCAACCTTCCCCTCATCCTTCCAAGCTCTAGGCAACTTCTAATATACTTTGTTTTTCTATAGATTTGCCTGTTTGGGATATCTTGTATACATGGAATCATACAATACGTGGCCTTTTGTGTCTAGCTTCTTTAGCAAAGTGATTTCAAGATTCATCCATGTTGTTTTAGCTGTTCGTACTTCATTTATTTTTATTGAGGAATACTATTCCATTGTATGGATATACCACATTTATTCTACTTATTTATCAGTTGATGGGCATTTGGGTTTCTTCCACTTTTTTGGCTATTATGAAAAGTGTTGTTGTGAACATTCGTGTAAAAGTTTTTTTTTGTGGACATTGCTGGATCATTTGATAACTCTTATGTTTAACAGAGGAACTGCAATACTCTTTTTCCAAAGAGGAACATCATTTTACATTCCCACCAATCAGTCAGTGTATGAGTGTTCCAACTTCTCTACATCCTCATCAAAAGCTGTTAATTATCTGTCTGTCTGATTATAGTCATCCTGGTGGTTTTGAAGTGGCACCTCATTTGGTTTAATTTGCTTATGCTTAATGACTATTGATGTGGTTTTGTATATCGTCTTTGGAGAAATGTCTATACAAATTTTTTCCCTAATTATTAAAAAATATTTTTCTTATTTAGAGATGGGGTCTTGCTGTGTTTCCCAGGCTGATCTCAAACTCCTGGGCTCAAGCAATCCACCCGCCTTGGCCTCCCAAAGTGCTGGGATTATAGGCATTGCACCACTGCGCCTGGCCCTTTTGCCTACTTTAAAATTTTATTATTTGTCTTTGTATTGTTTAGTTGTTCAGTTGTAATTGTTTATTATATATATTATCAAGTGTATGATTTACAAATATTCTTAGGTTATATTTTTACTTTCTTAATAGTATCCTTTGAAGCAGAAAAGTTTTTAATTTTGATGAAGTTCATTTTTTTTTTTTTTTTGGTTGCCAAGGTTTAGGTGTCTACTGTATTTTCTGAATGCCTTTGAAAATAATTTTTGTAAATAACTTGATCCTGCATTAAAATATAATCATGCTGCAGTTATTTTGTTATCATTAAAGACTGATAAGCCGGGCACTGTGGCTCATATCTGTAATCCCAGAACTTTGGGAGGCCGAGGCAGGTGGATTGCCTGAGGTCAGGAGTTCGAGACCAGCCTAACCAATATGGTGAAACCCCATCTCTACTAAAAATACAAAAATCAGCTGGGCATGTTAGAGTGCGCCTGTAGTCCCAGCTACTTGGGAGGCTGAGGCAGGAGAATCACTTGAACCCAGGAGGCAGAGGTTGCAGTGAGCCAAGATCGCACCACTGCACTCCAGCCTGGGCAACAGGGTGACACTCCATTTCAAAAAAAAAAAAAAAAAAGACTGATAAAAGTTATCGTAAGCAGCAGTGTTTACAATTCTTTTTTAAAATTTTGCCTGAAAATTATTTTACAGCTCTATAGTATCAACCCTCCTTGCTCTTATGGATGGATTAGATAATAGGGGTGAAATTGTTGTTATTGGTGCTACAAACAGACTTGACTCTATAGATCCTGCACTCAGGAGACCTGGTCGTTTTGACAGAGAATTCCTCTTCAACCTGCCTGATCAAAAGGTAAGAGTTTTTGTTTTCAATATGTTAATATTTATATGTAATTCTACTATAAGGCATATGTTCTAAGGGTGATATTTTATGAATTTTCATTGTTCAGAGTTTGTGCTTATAGGATATCTTACTTAATACTTTAAAAACCTATGTAATTATGGAGCAGTTTTTTTCTATTAACAATTATAAGAAAGTTTATGATTTTTAGATAGTAAGAGGAAAGCTCTTGATAGGTCACTGTAGATACTTACTTGTGCTTTAGTTCTCCAGGTTGTAGTAGTTGTCCTGTATGGCAGTTTATGTGTCCCTAGTTAGCCAAAGTAACTTTATTCTCGTAAAATAATGTTTTTATAGAGTATTAGTGGGTTTATGAATAAGGACCCAGTATCCAAATTTTCATAGAAATTGCTGTATTTAATTAAAAACAACAAACGTTATTCATTATGGTATAAAGTTTTTTTTTTAAAAGAATGTATTAATAATACAGGGCAATATTTATCATTGATTATGTAAATATTATATAATATGATATACGAAGTTTCTTTTTCCCCAATTCAGCTTGAAACTTTTAATGTTATTCTTGGTTTGACTAGTATAATCTGACTGGCTTTTCATTAGAAACTCAAATCTGAGAGGAAGAGATACATGCAAAGGATATATTGTATGTGAATATGTATAGCTTTATTCTTAGACCTCTATGTGAAATGCCTGGTTTATATACCTAGATGTGAAAGTCTTAGTGATTTGGACTGTATGGAAGACCATAGAGTAACAAAGGCAATGGCTTCCCTGTGTAGAGCAGTTCGTTCCTCAGTTTGACATCAGTCTCCACAGTCACCAGTAGTTGACTCAGATTTGGATTGACAATCTAATTTACAAGCTTTAAATTGGCACCAGATTTATTTAGCTTTGTCAGAACAGGAAACATAGCATATACAGCATTATTTTCATTGCACAAGTGCAACCTTCAGGAATGTATGAGTGCATATTGGTGTGTTTATTTGTAGCAGATAGGGCTGAAGTAGGTACAGTCTACTTCACTGTGGGGAAGCATCAACTTTTTTGTTTGGGACATCTAACAACAGTCCAAGCACAGCTTTTATACTCTTCAGTACATGGGGAAATGTGCTTAGTTCTGAGAGACAGCACAGGAAAGCCATTTCCTTGATTTCCCAATTGTCTTCTGTACTATCTTAGCTAAGTAGGCTTCAGAGTCTATATGTCAATCACAGCCCTCACAGTCCAGGTTCAGTTCACGCAAATCAAGGGTTTAACAGTAAACAAGGTTTAGAACAGCACTGTCTAATACAATTTTCTGTGATGATGGAAGTGTTCTATTTTGGCATTGTTCTTTGAGCAGTATGCATTGTGGTAGCCACTAGCCACATGTAGCTATTGAACACTTAAAATGTTGCTAGTGTGACTAAAGAACTGCATTTTAAATTTTGTTTAGTATTAGTTAATTTAAAATTTAAATAAAATAGCATTATGTGGCTCATGACTTACTATATTGCACAGCATGGATCTTGAACATAGTTTTCCACATTAACTTTCTCTTTCTAACATTTCGAGCAAACAGTTTTGTGAGACTGAAATATAAGGTCGTTATTCTCACGCCTGGGTCTGTGGAAAGGCCTATGCTGGCTGTTTACCTTTTTCCCTTAAATAGTTTTTTAAGGTCCTGAGACTAGATGAGATTACCAAGTCTTCTCTCTTACAGAGCAGTCAGTAAGATAAGAGGAAAACTAAGAGAGTGGGGTGTTCTGATAGCCAAGTGAAGAAAATGTATCAATGAGGAGAGTGTGATTAACCATGTCACATGTTGCTAAGTCCATTCAGCTAAGGACAGAAAATTGGTCATTGTATTTATCATTATGTAGGTCGTCAGTGAATCTGATGAGAACAGTTTCAGTTAGTAGTGGGTGCAAAAGCTTAATTGGAGTGTGTTAGTTCAAGAGAAAATGGGAAGGAATTGGAGGGAGTGAATATAGATATGTTTTAAAAAGAGTTTTTCTGCAAAGGGAAGCAAAGAATTTAGGTGATATGATATTGAAGGAAGCAGGGGCAAGATAATGTGTTTCATTGTTTTCAAGATGGAAGAAATCTAGTAGAAAAGGGAATTTTTATGTGAAATTGAGAGATGTCAGTAGGCAAAAAGTGATAGGATTTAGCATAAAAGTGGCATGAATGACTTTAGATAGGAGCTGGCTAGTTCATCTGTGACAATAGAGAGAAGACAGAATATTGTTGGCACACATGCTGATGGGTGGACATCTTTGGTGATTAGGATGTGAGGAATCTATGGAAGTTTTTTTCTGATTGCTTCAATTTTCTCAGTGAATTGGGAGGCACGGTCATCAGTGGAATACGAAGATGTGCTGTGAAATAGTCTGCTAGGAGAAAGGCATAATGAATGACCTAGGGAAGTATTAAGGGTAGTAGTAATAAGGACCCATTTGGGTCATTAATTTAAAGTGATACCGGTCAGTGTCTCAGTCCTGTGGTTTGGCCAGTAGAATATCATGACTCTTGCTATTGGATTAAGTAAAAGATTAATAAAACTAAATCTTGTTTTCAAATTTTAATAATTTTGTTAATTATTTGCATAAAATAGTACACACCTTCCATATGCAATAATGCTTTTTAATTTCTTTTATTTTCCTTTATCATCATTTTTATGATTGTTATAAGTAATATATATTTGTATGTGTACTTGTAGATTCTGAAAAATGAGGGGCTTGAGTTTGCCTTTGATGTTTAATAGAAGTTACTTTCTATTAGAGGAAGCCCTTTGACTTACTATTTGGTATGCCGTATAGAGTAAAATACATAATGAACATTTCTTGATTTCTACATTTAAATAATTTTTTCTTCATTCCATGTCTTGTTTTTAGTGTGACAAAAGGAAGGTGACTTTGATTGGATTATATAGGGAAAGAGCATTATTAGGGACCTGAAAATAACTTGCTAACCTTTGATAATTAATTTCATTATTTTAAACCTCTTTTTAGGGAAATGAGAGGATAAGAATGGATCTCTTTTTGGGATGTCTTCCAGCATAATTTTTTTTTACATGTTCTTGATATTTTAAGGGTCTTGTAATCACCCTTAGCAGCACAGTACCTGTGCTGCTAATGAAGTTTGTATAGATTCTTAATGTCATCTTACAGAATATATATGCTGTTAGGTTGATATTTCTTTTGGACTTTTTTTTTTTTAGTATCTGTTCAAGCAGATACTTCACCTTGGAAGAAAATAAGTGTCATATCATTGCTTTAACTTTCATAGCTGAATGCCTAACTTAGAACTTGGAATTGAAACTGTAGCGATTGATTCCAGATTTTGTCAACTTTTTGAGCAAGATTTATCTTGATGACTTTGTAGTTGTTCTGTTTTGTTGCTGGTCCCCAAATTCCTCATCAAGTCAGTAAGATGTTATCATCTTGGTTATAATTTGCTTTTTCATATCTCAAGAAGCTTAGATAGCAGTGTTGAGGGAACAAGCATATTCAATTTTTTAAAAGTGTTGTAATTTTCTCCAAAGAAGGCAGATGTGAAAACAAAATTCTGATCTGACTGTTGGTGGTGGTTAGTATCAGCTGATTATAGATTTTTATATGTTAGTGTTTTTTTAAGAAAACTATTTTAGGCTGGGCACGGTGGCTCACGCCTGTAATCCCAGCACTTTGGGAGGCCGAGGCGGGTGGATCACTTGAGGTCAGGAGTTCAAAACCAGCCTGGCCAACATGGTGAAACTCTGTCTCACTAAACATACAAAAATTAGCCAGGTGTGGTGGCGAGTGCCTATAATCCCAGCTGCTCAGGAGGCTGAGGCACGAGAATCACTTGAACCTTGGAGGCTGAGGTTGCAGTGAGTGAGATCACGCCACTGCACTTCAGCCTGGGCGACAGAGCGAGACTCAGTCTCAAAAACAAAAAAACTATTTTAGAAAAATGAATTTCTGTTTGTTTTGAAAGCAAGACGTTAAAATTTTGATTGTAGATTTAAGCTAGAGAATGTTGAAATCAATGTAAAATTGTTTACAACACTTTGATCTTCCAATGAATTTAATTGAAATTTATTGAAGTACCATGTATTAAATGCCAAAGCATCAACTAACTGACAAAGTAATAATATGCATGATATATATATATTTTCTTTTCTCCCTTTGAGACAGGATCTCACTCTTATCACCCAGGCTGGAGTGCAGTGGCGTGATCACAGCACACTGCAGGCCTCGACCTCTCAGGCTCAAGGGACTCTTCCACCTCAGCTTCCTGAGTACCTGGGACCACAGGCGTGCACCACCATACCCAATTAATTGAAAAACAATTTTTTTGCAGAGACAGGATGTCACTATGTTGTCCAGGCTAGTCTTGAACTCCTGGACACAAGCGATCCTCCCGCCTCAACATCCCAAAGTGCTAAGATTGCAGGTGTGAGCCACCACAACTGGCATGCATGATATTTACTTAAACTTGAATACTTTTCAAATTAAAAGCTTTTTTCAAGTTTAAGTTACTTGTTATTTTGCTCATTGTTGATCATAATACCACAAATTCTATGAAATGTAAAGTTTGTTTAAAATTATAACGATAACTTTTATAACATGAAAGTTTTTTGTTCATATATTTTCAAATGGTAAAAGTGGTATGGTGGAAAAGTGAAATATAGTTTTGAATTCTAGTCCCACATGAGTCACTTAGTTGTTATATGCTGCCAGTCAATTTTCTTCACCTATCACAACATTAAATGTCTTAGGTTGTGAAACACAGAAAAGATCTCTACTACATGTCTCCCAGATTTATTGTTGGAATCAGAGTTGATGTAGATAGATGCTAAGGTGTTTACATTTTTTAAAAATAAAAGTTTTAATGAGATATGGTTAGTCAAAATTTGTTCCACCTAACGTATTTGAAGGATTGATAATATTTTATCTGTACTTTTCTTCTTGGGCAAGATTTTATATATCTGTGCTTTTCATCTTAGGCAAGAAAACACATCTTACAGATCCATACCAGGGACTGGAATCCAAAATTGTCAGATGCATTTTTAGGTGAATTGGCTGAAAAATGTGTTGGTGAGTGTTACTGTTTGAATTATTTGATTGTCATTGTTTATTCTGCTCAACCTCCCTTTCCCCTTATGTTTGGAGTGTGAATAAGCATAGTTATGTTTTTGATTGTGCAGTAGATTGGCTCTGCCTTTATATTTTAGAGTTATTTTAACTGTTTCACTTAAAAGTTTGAGTACTTGTAAATTAGAATTTTAACTGCCATTAGGTGTTTAGTTAACAAAGCTCAATAATAACATGCCTTTCACTGAGTGCTGGGTATCTATAATATTAATACAGGGTCTCCTTTTGAATATCATTCCCTCTTAGAAATTTTACTAAGAAGAATAGCTTAAACTTGAGAGAGAAAAGTCCATGTCAAAGCAGGACTGCAGCCTTTTACTTTTACTTTGCAGATTACACAATGGGCTTATTTTCATTCCTGTGGTCTAGAAAGAAGTTGGGTGGGAGAGGTCTTCAAAGAAAATAGTTAATGGTATTTGGTAGTATTTCCCCAAATATAAAACTTTCCAATTTAACTTTAAATTTTTCACAGAGTGGAAGATCTCTCCACAGAGTGAATGAACGCTACTGTCCTGCTAGGACATAGTGAGAGTGTTTTATCTGCACAGATGATCACACATAGGAGATGGAATTCAGGGTTTTGACTCTAATTAGGTCTGAAATAAAAAGGCATACAATATTAGGCAGCTGAAAATACACACAGGTATTTCTCCTTCATTCTTTCCCCCTCTTTTGTCTGTTTTCCTCTCATACTCTGAAAAATATAAATTAAAAAAAAAAAAACCAATCTTCATGAACTTTTTAAGCATTGTGAAGAAATCCCCCAAATAAGTCCACTGACAATAACTTACTTGGGAAAACTTTAAAGTTACCAAAGCCAAAAAGAACAACTTAATTTAAAAAATCATTGTGATCCACCATCAAATAATTAAAACTTAAATAGAACATTAGTCCATTCAGTTAGCTACATCCAAATTATCCTCTTCATCCACAGGGACTTCCATCTCCGAAGCAGCATCCCTCAGCTTTTGAACCACAAAGACCTCGACATCTTCTGGTGAGGAGAAAACGTAAATCTCTCCAGCACTACTTCAGTTTAAGCTTTGCCTGGTATAAGAGAGCATGCGCCAAACACATTTCATGTTAATTTGGCTTGACCTTTGCAAAGCCTTGTGCTGCTTTATGGGAGAGGGTGGTATTTGGTATAAAATCCAGTCTTTTCCCTTTTTGAAAATAGACCCCTTTTATTTATGATGATATTTTACTAGAGTTCAGATCAGACTGGGAAATCTGTCGATTTTTCTGTAAATTTGTCACAGAATGATCCTTAACTGAAATAAGCAGAAGTCAAGTTGTCAGATCATTTTGGAAATTCCCTGAGATAGGTATTCTAAATTACTTTCTATTATCCTGTCTACCATCTGAAATATTATACACTCTAGTTTAATTCTTCATCCCAAATAATAGAATCTTAGTTTCCTTTTGCATTTCCAAAGACAATACTTCTCATTTTTCCAAGTGATTTTTTTAACTTTTAGGCAGTTTCTTAAGTTTTTAAATTTTCATGGTATAATTTCTTACAAGACTGATAAATTTCTCTTACCTTGTTTTTCTTCCCCTCTGTGGGGTGGTAGTATGTCTGCAGACTCTGCCTATATACCGTTTTCTTCCTGGACAGTGACATAAAAATCCATTATAATTAAATGACTTCTGTTTTTTGTTAAGACATTCATTCCATCTGAGAAACCGGTTCACATTAAAAAAAAAAAAAATTCAGATCTTCAAACGGGAGTGAAATAGTAGTTTTAAATCCATTACAAACTCACTTAGTGTATGTATGCCAAACATGTTTTAACATGAATAGGTTCAGTTCATTGACATTTATGCCTAATAAAAGAGTGTGTAGTCTTGATGAACATCTGTGAAGATAGCTGACCTTTTGTTAGAGGTTATGGATTTGGTAACTTTTACCTTGAAATTCCCAAGTTCTTAGAGGTTTTTGCATGCATATTGGGTGTGATTTTTGCATAGTGAAAAACTCAATATACATTGATATCAGGAACATTTGCATAAATAGTAGGAACTTACGATTAATGAAACACTCAACTCTAATCATATTTTTCTATTCCATTTTCAATGAGAGGGCTAAAACAATGAAAGAGTCTCAATGAAGTATCTGTCTTGTGGGCCTTCGTTATGTGTGATGCTGTACTTAAAACTTCATAAAATTTTGTTATGACCTTGTTTCTAGTCTAACCTCTTTAGTAGCTGTGTTTTCAGTCTTTCAGGACAATTTCTATCTTAATAGCAGTATTCAAGAATGCTCTTTATTTGATATCTAAATGTGTTCACAGAGTATTAGAATTGTAATGGTAGATTTAGTATGGTTATGAAAGGGATGTTTATACTTTTTTAAATATTAACTTTTAACTCCTAAAAGGCTGTAGTATATTTTCAGTATTACTAGAATGATCATATTATTTATTGTCTAAACAAGGACTCTTTGAGAGTGAAAAGGTGTGCTATTAATTATGGCAGAACAAGAGGCTTAACCAGCACATGTGGTTACCCTAAGTGTAACCCATTTAGCCATGGTTATGATGCACTTTTAAAGTTTTAGAAGGAAGTATGTTAAATCAGTAGTTCTCAATTTTGTGTGTATCAGAATCACTTCTAAAGCTTTCTTGAAATGCACATATCATCAAGCCCCCAGAGATTCTGATTCACTAGGTTTATTGTGGGGCTTGGGAATCCGTTTTTTTTGTTTAAGTTTCAGTGTTTATTCAGGTGGATAATCAAGGTGAGAACCACAGATATAAACTGGTAATTCTTACTTATAAGCTAATGTAAAAAAATTTCCTCCTTTATAAGTCTGTTGGTTATAATAATTAATGTGAAAATCTACCTCATTAAATGGGGTCTATTGATCATTTATTTGTCTGGAATAAATGAGGGAAAGATGAACAATAATACATTGCTGTTATATATGTAATTAACATGTTATGGCAAACATAAATGTTATGGGTAACATTTACTATGTAAAATACTTTCTAGTGGCTAATTATTTGTTTTGCCTTAATAGTTTCTGAGTTTTAATTTTTTTAAACTTAGGCTTTTGCACTTAAAATAGGACCATATAGTATGTTCGTTAACTGTGTATATCCTTTTAAAGAAGAAATAGAAACGTAATTGTTTATATTGTTTGAAGATGGTAGTATATTCCTTATTTCCTCTGAAATGGAAGACAGAATTCACATTCTATAATCAGATCCTTGGATTATTTTGTTAACTGTTTATAACTTTGAGCTAGTGTTCTATACATTATTGAATTAATGAAACAGGTATATATGCAAAAGGAAAAGGTAATTTTTTTCCAGGTTTATTCTTTGAGAAATAGAAAATAAAATGAGACACTAGTGGTAAATTTGGTTATCCAGAGAATTATTTGTGAGACAGATTGCTGTCATGGAACAATGTTAATGCTTAATCTGCTTATAGTCTTCTGAATTAAGTTCTTCTAGGTCATATTAAGTTTTTCCCTAACTTTTAATAAGTTTTCCTTTGTAATCACCATTTTTAGTTGAGTATTTAAATGTTCTGTAAGGTCATTGTGAGGTGTAAAAAGATAAATAGTCCAGATGTGATGGCTCATGCCTGTAACACCAGCACTTTGGGAGGGTGAGGCAGGAGGATTGCTTGAGGCCAGGAGTTCGAGACCAGCCTGGGCAAAGTGAGACCCCTATCTCTACAAAAAAAAAAAAAAATCAAAAAATTAGCCTGATGTGATGGTACACACTGTAGTCTCAGCTACTCAGCAGGCTGAGGCAGAAGGATTTCTTGAGCTCAGGAACTCAAGGCTTCAGTGAGCCATGATCATCCACTGCACTTCAGCCTGGGCAACAGAGCGATATGCTGTCTCCCAAAAATAAAATAAAAATAAACCTGGTATTGTTTGTTGAGGAGCTTAGTTAGGGTCTAATATTCTATAACTATTCGAATGGTTCCCCCTACTGGCATAACTGATAATTGTGGCCAAATGCAAGTTTAATTGCTAACAGGAAAAACAGTGTGGCTAGTTTGAGCTTTTCTTCCTTTTTGTGACAAGGATGCAACAGAGCATGTGTTTTTGTATGTATTTGTTACTCAGATGAATGAAATGACTTAAAAACACTGGGGCTTGATCTGTTGTTTGATTGTATCATCCATTAAACATGGGTAATAATACCCCATGTTGGTATAACCCTTAGAATTAGATTATCAGTCATTTTAAACTAAACAAAATTAATGTGGAAAATCAATGGAAATATTTTTTAATGTTCTTATTTACTTTAATATATTTGGAACTATCAGATGAATTACAATTTTAAATGATAATTATGGGAGTAACTGAATGTTAATAGTTGGTTGCACTCAGAGTTGGTAGTAGAATAGCTTTGTTTTTGAAGTTTCTTTTTATATACTATTTTATACGTGTTTGGAAGTTAGTAATATTAGAAAAAATCATTTATAAGTAAGTATAATGTCATGAGGACTAACCTAATGATTGTGAATATTGATGAAGGACTGAAATGTAACTATTATTCTTTTAAAACTTTTTTTCTAAAGAAAGTTGTATGTTGTAGGCCAGCTGTGGTGGCTCATGCCTGTAATCCCAGCATTTCAGGGTGCCGAGGCGGGTGGATCACTTGAGGTCAGGAGTTTGAGACCAGCCTAGGCAATATAGTGAGACCTCATCTCTACAAAATAAATAAAAGAAAAGAAAAAAATTACACAAGTGTGGTGGCACATGCCTGTAGTCCCAGCTACTCAGAAGGCTGAAGTGGGAGGACCGCTTGAGGGTGGGAGGAAGAGGTTGCAGTGAGCCGGATTGCACCACTGCACTCCAGCCTGGGTGGGCAACAGAGTGAGACCCTGTCTCTTATTTATTTATTTTTTTGAGACCCTGTCTCTTAAAAAAAAAAAAAAGTTGTACATTGTAATCAGTTAATCACATAATACATGGCTTTTGTTTTAAAGCTTATATCAAGGACATACTTAAGATACATAGCTTGTTTTAATATTGTTAGCTTATGTTTTTGTTAATTAAAAATATTCAAAACATTTTTAATCTTAATGTAAGTATTCAGCCCTTTATTCAGCAGTTTTGTTTGGTGATTTTAAATGGCTAGTTTTCATTTTGCTGGTAAAATTGCACATAGTTATTGATTTAGTATTGATGATGACGTTAGCTAAAGTTGGTGCATGGAATAATGAATGTACCTTTGCTGTCCTCCTCCTTTTGTGCATTAGGCTACTGTGGAGCTGATATCAAGGCCCTGTGCACTGAAGCCGCCCTGATTGCGCTGCGGAGGCGTTATCCCCAGATCTATGCTAGCAGTCATAAACTGCAGCTGGATGTTTCCTCAATAGTGCTTAGTGCTCAAGACTTTTACCATGCAATGCAGAATATTGTGCCTGCTTCGCAACGTGCTGTGATGTCTTCAGGGCATGCACTATCCCCCATCATAAGGCCACTGCTGGAAAGAAGCTTCAACAACATCCTAGCGGTCTTGCAAAAAGTGTTTCCTCATGCTGAAATTAGCCAGAGTGACAAAAAAGAAGGTACTCTAAACTACTTTTTCATATTGTTAAGATGAAACAAATACAGGAATAAATAAATATAGTTTCCTCACAAGATTATTTATGTGTCACTTTTGTAATATATCTGTTTATTCAGTACTATATATTCCAGGCCTGGCATATTACCTGGCATATGGTAGTTGCCTGGTGAATGTTTGTAAGACAAATGAGTGAATGTTCACTTTTGGGACGTTCTGATCATCTTAATGTAGGGCTATTACTATCTTTAGAAAGTTGACAATAATAATAGATTAACCTTTAAAGCCCCAAATTGTCACCTATTAATCCTTTTTTATTTTATTTTTTTTATTTGAGATGGAGTTTTGCTCTTGTTGCTCAGGCTGGAGTGTAATGGTGCTGTCTTGGATCACTGCAACCTCCGCCTTCCGGGTACAAGCGATTCTCCTGCCTCAGCCTCCCGAGTAGCTGGGATTTCAGGTGCCTGCCACCATGCCCGGCTAATTTTTAAAATATTTTTAGTAGAGACAGGGTTTCACTATGTTGGCCAGGCTGGTTTCCAACTCCTGACCTCAGATGATACACCGGCCTTGAACTCCCAAAGTGCTGGGATTACAGGTGTGAGCCACCGTGCCCGGCTTATTAATCCTCTTAACAAGCTTGCAGGTAAGCACTCTGATTATATAGAGCAGGGGAGTGGGAGATACAGGCTGGTAATTTATTTTTTTTGAGACAGTGTCTCTGTCACCCAGGTTGGAATGCAGTGGCCTGATCTCAGCTCACTGCAGCATCTGCCTCCCAGGTTCAAGCAATGCTCCTGCCTCAGCCCCCCAAGTAGCTGGGATAGCAGGTGTGTGCCACCACGCCCAGTTAATTTTTGTATTTGTTTGTTTGTTTAATAGATATGGGGTTTCACCATATTGGTCAGGCTGGTCTCGAACTTCTGACCTCAGGTGATCCACCCACCTTGGCCTCCCAAAGTGCTGGGATTGGAGACTTGAGTCACCGTGCCCAGCCTGGTAATTTAGTTAATATAAGGTCATTGAATAAGTTCTGGGGCCTGCCCCAACCCAGGGAGCCTGATGACAGCCCTTGCTCTTACCTATGTTGCTATACTGCTTCTTTGGATTAAACTAATCATTTTGTTGTTATTGGTAGGGCACTCTGCAGTGTGCAGTGCTCATAGGAGTGTAAGGTATTGATAAGGGAGTAAATGAGAACCCCGTTGTAGAGGGTCTTGAGTTTTATCAAGCCTCTAGATAGTACTTTGCACCTGAGATAAAAACAGAACGCTACTTTGAAAAACATCACTCATGGTTGGGTGCGGTGAGTCACGCCTGTGTAATCCCAGCATTTTGGGAGGCCAAGGCAGGCGGATCACCTGAGGTCAGGAGTTCGAGACCAGCCTGGCCAACATGGTAAGACCCTGTCTCTTTAAAAAATAAATAAATAAATAAATCAAATTAAAAACATCACTCATTTACAGGAAAAAAATTTTAAAATTAGATTAACATTCTAATCAGAGTATAAAGCTCATAAACTTTGAAGGGAAAGTAATGTCTTTTGATTATCTTACTTTCTCCAGTTCCTAGCACTTTGTCTGGAATGCAGTCCGCACCAAATAGAAAATTATTCAGAGAATTACACTAACATTAAAAAAAAATAGTAAAAATTATGAATGTTGTTCAGTGAATTCTTCTGTCATAAATATATTTTTCAGAAACTTTAATTGTTTAGTGACAGAGTCACATAAGATATCACATGGAATACCTGATTTCTTAAATTTGGCAGAGGGGAATGAATATTTTACTGAATATCTGTGAGCCAGGCACCATACCATGATTTGTGTATTTTTTATTTCTGAATTTTATAACTGGAAATGTATTTCATATGTATTTTATGTACCAAAACTTCCCAAAAAACTTATGTCACCTTTAGAAAATCATAAAAACCTTTTCTTTCATCATAGCTTTTTATCTCCATTTGTGAATTACCATTTTATAGCATTATTATCTATGTTTTCTTATAGCTTTTTTGTGTGTAAATGTAAAGTATGCTTTAGTTTCAGTTGGTAGAACTAGTTGACATGACCAGTGGAGAAGAGCAACCAAATTTTATTTGATTATCAGTAATTGGTTTTTAGCTATTTAGTCATATTATTTATTCTGGCTTGTTTTGACCTTTAATGTTTTTCTTAGATAAATATCATTTCCTTGTGTATGAAATTATCACTCAAAAGATACTCAGTTATTTCCCAGATTAAAATATGACTTGTACTAAATATTTAGCTTTTTTTTTGTTTTTTTTTGAGACAGAGTCTTCGCTCTGTCACCCAGGCTGGAGTGCAGTGGTGCTATCTCAGCTCACTGCAAGCTCTGCCTCCTGGGTTCATGCCATTCTTCTGTCTCAGCCTCCCTAGTAGCTGGGACTATAGGCGCCTGTCACCATGCCCGGCTAATTTTTTTTGTATTTTTAGTAGAGATGGGGTTTCACTGTGTTAGCCAGGATGGTCTCGATTAAATATTTAGCTTTTAAAAGCCACATGAGATCTCTATCTGCCAGCATAATTTAGTATGTAATTTTAGAATGCATCTGCATATTTTTTGTTTTGAAAGGGTATGATTTCTCTTAATCTTAATTCTCTCTCATATCCCGTACACATGTAGCATTACTTTTTATTGAATGAATTGTCACTTTTGATTAGGCATGTTTGAAGTATAGCTGTTGGTAGTCCAGGTGAGGCTTTAAGTGTTGCATTCCCAGTAGAGATTTTAGTTCTAGTTAGTTCCCTGAGTGGTAACTGAAGGCCCATAGAGAGAATAATGCTGTATGAATGAGTATATTTTTAAGATTAGCTTTGACGGAATTTCTGACTCCATCTTAACTAGACTAAGTCTTCCTTGAAAAGGTGTATCCTCTTTAAAAAATAAGGGTCAGTTTGTTCCTTGTTGCTTTTATAAGAACTGGCCTTGATTCAGCTAACCTACTAATTAAACCAAATATGAAATGGACTGGTTTTGGTCATAATTAACTCAGAGATTTTTAGTTAAATAGGTGGGATTTTATGAGAGTGCCACTTCTTTTCCAGACTTGTTTTTTTTTTTAAGCCAGTCAGTGAGTTCTTCCAAATTATCTTTCATAATACTTAAGTAAATAGTCTGTAAAGGTGAAAATGTTTTATTAATTTTGTTTATAGGTTATTTTAAAAGCTGCAGTTTGTCAATTTGCCTGTATTATTTGATAGATCACTTATTAATGTCATTTGATTTTTTAACCCAATTTTTCTTAGCTTTGGTAAGGCACTAATATTAAATGACTTTATGAGCCTCATAACATTGTGATTTTTTTAAACAGATATAGAAACTTTAATTTTAGAGGATAGTGAAGATGAAAATGCTTTATCAATTTTTGAGACCCATTGTCACTCAGGATCACCAAAGAAACAGTCATCAGCTGCTGCTATACATAAACCCTACCTTCATTTTACAATGTGAGTGATTTATATCAAATTTCTTTGTATTTAGAGCGATTTTTGATACTTTATGATTAGAATTATAGTATATTTTTACTTATGGTTATAACTGTGAGGATATTGTTTTTCTGTTGTTAGGACACAATTCTGGAAAACTTTTACTATGTATTCTTATTCATGTGGTAATAGCTTGTTGGTTAACTACTTAGGTGTTTTTTTCCTCCAACTAGAAGAATCTTTCCTGCTACTTTTCTTTTTTCTTTTCTTTTTTTTTTTTGAGACAAGAATCTCACTCTGTCGCCTAGCGTAGAGTGCAGTGGCACGATCTCAGCTCGCTGCAACCTCTGCCTCCTGAATTTAAGCTATTCTTGTGCCTCAGCCTCCTCTGTAGCTGGGATTACAGGTGTGCGCTACCATGTCCAGCTAATTTTTGTATTTTTAGTAGAGATGGGGTTTCACTATGTTGTCCAGGCTGGTCTCAAACCTCGGGTGCTCTGCCTGCTTCGGCCTCCTGAAGTGCTGGGATTATAGGCATACGCCACTGCACTCAGCCAAGTGTACTTTTTTTAAAAGTGATGGTGTGAATTTTTTTTCCCCCATGGAGGCAGAGGAAGGCTTACCCTTAGAAAGTCAAGTCATGAGCCCCAACTTTATTGCTTTTTATTTAATGGGCAGAAATGAAATATTAGCCATGATCTGGAGTACTTTAATTTGTAATAAACTTTAGATGATCATTTAGGTCTCTAAGGCTACTAAAAGAGATTTTGATTTAGAAATTGTTCAGTAATTAAATAACTTTTTGATTTTCTAGAAACATACTTTTATAATTTGGATTTCATGGTTTTTCAATTTACATTTATCCTTTTATTATCTGTGTTAAAGCAGCTTTTGCTGTGCGCTATGCTAGGTAAACACTTTTAGTGCAAATCTGATTTTAAATTAAGAGGCCAAGTAGTGTTCAAACACTAACAGCATCTTTACTTGCATTTACATAATTAGCCCATAGTTGAAGAACCATAAAGCTTCCGTTAGGTAGATCTAATAGCACTTCTATTAGAAGAGGCTGGATTGTGTGTACTTTTAATATTTTGAACAAATTTAAGTCTCCAACTTGAAGTTTTCCTGTGTAGATTTTGGTGAAATGTTGATTATTTGCATTGTAACCCTTTCTTGTTTTTCGTTTTTTAAAATGAGGCTAAATTACTTTCATCTTCTCTTTTTTTTCTTCATATGTTCTTTAATAGCAAACTCTTTGTAAGTTTTTTTCTTCTTCTCCAGATCCTTTCTTTTATGCTCTCGGGGAAGTTTTTTTATAGGCTCTTCCACCATTTTACAAATTTGTTTTATCGATAGTTATGGGAAAGCCATTTTTTTTTTTTTTTGCCTTTCACCTGGCTAGCCTGTCTCTCTCTCTCTCTCTCCCCCTCCCTCTCCCTCCCTCTCTCCTTCCCTCCCTCATTCTTTCTCCTTCCCTCCCTCATTCTCTCTCCTTCCCTCCCTCATTCTCTCTCCTTCCTTCTCTCTCCCTCTCCCTCTCTTCTTCCCTCCCTCCTTCTCTATCCCTCCGTCTCTCTCTCTCCCTCTCTCTCTCTGTGTGTGTGTGTATGTGTGTTTGACAGTTATAGTTATTTGAATTTGTATTATGTAGTAGCAGAAACAAAGAAACTATCAAAAGACGTGTTTAATTTTATAAGATAATTGTTGTCAATAAAGGAATACAGAAATAGATTTTGATATTAGAAAGTATCATGTCCAGTGTTAAGTTTTAACTTTTTATTGAGGACATTTCCTGCCACTGATTTAATGTGAGACATTGGTATGGCTCATTTTGTTTTAGCTTTTCTGAAAGAATTGGTTTAATTTTAGCTTCCTTTATGTAAGCTTTTCAAGTTCATTGATTTGACTTTCATTAAGTAATGAGACAACTATATTCTAGAATAAGCATTTTTTAGATGTTTTAGTAATATTTACTCACTTATTTCTTTGTTCACCTACCCATTTATCCAATTTTTCTTTTTTTACCCTATGCCAGGCATTGTATGAGATACTGAAAACCTAAGCATGAATAAGATATAGTTCTTTCTTTGGAGAAGGTCTCACTATTGGGGGTGACAAACATTTCAATACTGTGAAAGTGCTATGAAAGCAGAACTAATTCTGCTGAAAGTCTGGGAAGTTCTCAAAGGAGAAAGTGATACTTGCTGTCCTTTTCATTATGAAGGGTTAGGAGTTTGCATCTGAGTGCTTTTTACAAATTAGATACACGTTTGGTATGTAAAGATCTGTGCTTCATATTCAGCAATATATATAGGCCTCTCAACAATCATACTGCATTTGTGGTATCTTCATTTTATAGATGAGGAAACTGAAGCACACAGAAGTTAAATAAGTTGCCCATGATCATGTTGCTAGCAGGTGGCAGAGCCAGACTCTGTGCTGTTTGTTTCCTAAGATCATATTTTTCCAAATTATTTCTGAGCTTAGTAAGTAGCTAGAAGCATTGCTTCTTTAGGTAAGTTCAGCAATATATTTCACACTCTCCAAGAAGCATACACTGTAGAATTAAGGCCTTTAAGATGGGCAACATGTGGTCTTTTTTGTTTGGTTGGTTTAGTTTTCTGTTTGAGCAAGATGTATTAGTATTACAGATGAATGCAGAAAAAAAACTGCTTGGCCAGAAGAAAATGTAACTTTAGTGCTGGTTTTTAGTCACACTAGCCTGGGTATTGCTGGTGGATTTCTGGAAATAGTCTCCTGAAACAGTGTTGAAACCTTTTCTTTTTTTTTACATTTAATATAAAGGAGAAGTCAAGATAGTTAAGGTTTACCAATCTGGTAGAGAAGCGTTGTGATGGAAAATAAATTTTCTTTCTTACTTTATATTACCATAAGGGTGATTAGAAACAGAGCTTTCTGAGGTTTTTCAAATGAAAATAGCTTTGTTTTTTCTGATTAGAAAGATGATATACACTGTAGAAAATTCAAGTAATAAAGAAGAGCATAAAGAAGAAAGTAAAAATTAAAGCCCCAGCACCTGCAGGTAATATTTGTTAAAGTTTTGGTGACCACACTTCCATGTTCTCTCTATGCATGTATAATGTATAGACCCATACATTATCTGGATTATATCCTTCTCTAAGTTGTTAATATAACTTACTTTTTCACTATGTTGGGAATATTATTTCATATCAGCATATGTTTAATACCACTATTTTAAGATAGCTGCATATTATCTTACACTTTGGATATTCCACAATTTATAGACCCTTATTGGTAAAATTTGAAGGTTTCAAGCTTCTTTTATAAATAATAGACTTGTTTCTAAGTATACATCTTTACACCACTATCTGATTCAAAGCGTAAGATAAATTTTTAAGAACTGCAATTGCTGTGTCAGAGCGTATACATTTAACATGTTGACACAGATTGTTAAATTGTGTTCCAGAAGGCTTGTACTAGTTTACATTTCTCATACTAATGTATGAGAGTGGTATTTTTCTTATACCATTGTCAGTTCTGAGCACTGTCTTTTAAAATCTTTACAAACCAGATAGATGAATATAGTATCTTTTTGTTTGGTTGAATTGTTCATTTGTTCTTTCATATATTCATTCACTCATCAAATGTTTTGTGAAAGTGCCCATCATGTTCCAGACATTGTCTTGGGTACTTCGGATAGGGCAGTGAACAAAATAGGGTAAGATCCTGGCCCTCATTGAACTTATATTTTTAAATAGAGGAGATGGACAGTAAAACAATAAATGTAATAGCTTGCTAGATAGATAAAATGTTAGAAGATAAGTACTATGGGAAAAAATGTAGAAGATAGTAAGAGGTTGGGGAGTCCCTAGGAGTGGAGTGAGTTACTGAATACTTTTGGGCATACATTTTGGCATCTTTAGATCTATCACATATAATTTCAGAGAAGTTGTGCTTTTCTTCTACTGGTTATGAGGATATCAATTTTCCCATCCTCTCATTGATAATGGGTGTTGAAATTAATTTTTGGTTTATTCATCTAACAGATAAAAGATGTCTATCATTATTTTCGTTTCTGTTTTCTCAATTTTTTAATCTCTGTGTTGATGACTACCGTTTTGTTCTCAAGCCTAGATTGCTCTTCATCTTCAGACCCTGACCAGTGACCCATCTCCCCTTGGTTGTACCATGGATCTTTTCATACATAGCTGGACTATGTCGCTCCTTCTCTCCCTGTGACTCCTATGAGTCACCATTCATTCAGTTGTCTCAGCTAGAATTTGACATCATTCCCAACTTCTTTCCTTTTATTTCTTTCTTTGTCTAGTCAATGACCAAGTCTTTTTGATTTTTCTTACTAAATAAGTCTCATTGCAGGCTATTCCTTCTTCCTCTAACACTATTCTTGTTGAACTGTCATTCACATCTCATGCTTGGGTTACTATAGCAGATGCCTGATTATCTTTCCTCTCATTTGCCTTCTTTCAAAACCCTTTCCCATACTGACATGCTGAGATAGAGTTATCTGCCCTAAACTTGTATATGATTATCTTGCTGCTCTAAAGTATCTTAGTGCTTCCCCATTGTCTTCAGTACACATTCCAAACTTTTATTTTTATTTTTTTGAGACGGAGTCTTGCTCTGTTGCCCAGGGTGGAGTGCAGTGGTGCGATCTTGGCTCACTGCAAGCTGTGTCTCCCGGGTTCACACCATTCTCCTGCCTCAGCCTCCCGAGTAGCTGGTACTACAGGTGTCTGCTACCACGTCTGGCTAATTTTTTTGTATTTTTAGTAGAGACAGGGTTTCACCATGTTGGCCAGGATGGTCTCGATCTCTTGACCTCGTGATCTGCCCGCCTTGGCCTCCCAAAGTGTTGGGATTACGGGCGTAAGCCACCGTGCCCGGCCACATTCCAAACTTTTAACATGGCTTACAAAACCCTTGTAGCCCTTCGTAGTCTAACTTACCTTCCTTTTTCTCTCCCCACCCTAGTACCTTTACTGCACCCTCCACAACTTGTCTCCAGTACTTCAAAATAAACAAACAAACAAACAAAACCAAAACTGGCTATATGAACTGTATCAGTTACCCCAAAGAGCCATGTTGTTTTTAACCTTTGGTCCTTTGCGCATCCTGTTTTGCAGTCTTGGAATTCATCTCTTGTACCTCCAGTCTGTTGGGTTTCTGTCTTGGTAACAGTTTTCCAGGAATGCCTTCTATGAGTCTCTAATTGGTATCTTCCATAGCACTGTGTACTTAAACAGTACCACTTACTAATCACATTGAATTATGGTAATTTGTGTATTAACTTTTTTACTAAATGCCACTCAATTATATGCTCTATGACAACACTGGTATTGTTTGATACTTACGGCTAAGGCATTCAGCATGGGAGATATTCTATAGTTATATAATTAAATAAACATTTAAAAAAGTTTCCTGTTTCTATTTTCTTTTTGAATTGTCTGTTTTCGTCCTTTGCCCATGGAGGTTTTTTAAAAAAACTATGCATATAAACTCTTTATACATTAAGAACCATTCCTGTTTATGACAAATTCTTTTTATTAAATTTTCTTTTTATGCTTTCTCTATCAATTTTTTTTTTTTCCCAGATGGGATCTCTATGTTGCCCAGGCGTCTTGAACTCCTGAGCTCAAGTCATCCTCCCAACTCAGCCTCCCAAGTAGCTAGGATTACAGGCACGTGCTACCGTGCCCTGCTGTATGACAAATTCTTTATGCCATTTGGTTGTTTACTGTTTGGTTCAGATTATAATTTTTGAGTTACAGATGTTTTTAGATTATTATGAATTAAAAATATGTGAATCTTTTAATTTAAATTTTGTGTTAGAATTCATTTTGCTTATGCTGTGAAATGACCTGACTCCTCCGTTTTTAAACGTTTATTTTATCATCCATTTCTGTTCTTTTTATTTTATTTTTCGAGATAAGGTCTCACTCTGTCACCCTGGCTGGGGTGCAGTTGCACCATCTTGGCTCACCGCAGCCTTGACTTCCTGGACACATGTGATCCTCCCACCTCAGCCTCCTGGTGGCTGGGACTACAGGTGCACACCACCAAGCCTGGCTGATTTTTTTGTTTTTAAATTTTTTGTAGAGATGGGGTTTTGCCATGTTGCCCAGGCTCGTCTCAGAACACCTGGGCTCAAATGATCTGCCTACCTGAATCTCCCAAGTGCTGGGATTACAGGTGTGAGCCACTGTGTTGCCCTCATTTGTTTTTTATGATTCTTTTCTCATATGAAATTATTTCATAGAAAATACAAATTCTTATAAATTTTATAAATTTATATTAATATAAATGTATATATTATATATTCATATTATCTTATAATATAGTATAAAATAATAAAATATTTTATATGAATTATACTATGAATCATAACTATTTTATTCATATAAAGTATTATACATTTATATGCATATACATTATTTCATTTTATATGAAATTCCTTCATATAATGATTACGATTAATCATTTCCTAGGCTGCCTTTTATGTTTAAGGCATATGTTTTTTATGCCTTTTATGTTTCTTTGGTGTATTCTACATTCTATTAATTGTTATTCTATAATGTGTTTCAGTATAAAGTAGGACACATCTTAACATCGTGAGTTCAGAACCTGGGCTTTGCAGTCAAATGGGCTTGAATGACAATTTGAACTCTTCTATCTGGTTATACAACTTTATAGCTAACCTCCACGCACCCTGGTTTCTTATCTGTTTAATAAAATGAAACTATGTGTTTCACAGAATTGTTAAGAAAATTGAACAAGAAATCTCTGTGAAGTGCTTGTTACTAAAACATGTTTGAATGCATTAAAATTGGAAGCTTTTTTTTTGAGACTGAGTCTCGCTCTGTCGCAGTGGTGCGATCTCGGCTCACTGCAACCTCTGCCTCCCAGGTTCAAACGATTCTCCTGCCTCGGCCTTCTGAGTAGCTGGGACTACAGGCACGTGCCACCATGCTCAGCTAATTTTTTGTATTTTTAGTAGAGACGGGGTTTCACTGTATTAGCCAAGATGGCCTCAATCTCCTGACCTCGTGATCTACCAGCCTCAGCTGCCCAAAGTGCTGGGATTACAGGCGTGAACCACCTCGCCCAGGTGGTAGCATGTTTTTAAAAAGTTTTCTTGATGTTCTTACTTGATTATTCTTTCAGTTAAAGTTGTGAATAAGTTGAAACTCCCCTCCTCCCAAAAATTCTTTTGGGATTTCAACTTGAAAATCCTATGCATATAAAATGAAAAAGTAAATGGATTAGGAAGAATTGAGGTCTTTATATATTTAGTCTTTGTGTTCAGGCTCAGTTTTACTCTTTTCTTGCTAAGACTATAATTTGATAATGCTTGTTTTACCTTTTAATTTTTTTTTTTTTTTGCAGTGAATAGGATCTCCTTTCCTTTTTTACATTGGTTATTGATGGTGTTTAGGAAATCTATTGATTTTTCTATTTCTTCTGTCTTGTTACTTTGCTTGTAGATTCTGACAGTTTTTGGTTGATTTCTTGGATTTGCTACTACATAATCATATGCTTTAGAGGTGTCAATTTTTTCCTTTATTGCTTTCTATTCGTTCCATTTTAAATTTGCTTTATTCTTATTGTATTGCCTTAGAATGTCTAGGACTACCCACAGTGAGAGTAAACTTTATTTCATTTGTTATTTTAATGGTGCTGTAGAATCTCGAAATGACAAGTTCAAGTTTGGTTTAATATATTTTCCTTCTCTGGTATGGGGCTTTAGATGTCATCTGTCAGGGTAGGAACAGTTAGTTTTTGTTGTTACAGAAATAATATGTATTGGAAGAAGTTTATATATATTTGTTATTTTAAAAATTGTGATTGTTTTAGTTTGTTCCTGCTGCTATAACAAAATACCTTAAACAGAGTAATTTATAAACAACCTAAATTTATTTATTTATTTTTATTATACTTTAAGTTTTGGGATACATGTGCAGAATGTGCAGGTTTGTTACGGAGGTATACACCTACCAAGGTGGTTTGCAGCACCCATCAACCCATCATCTGCATTAGGTATTTCTCCTGATGCTATCTATCCCTCCCCTGGTCTCCCACCCCCAGACAGGCCCCGGTGTGTGATGTTCCCCTCCCTGTGTCCATGTGTTCTCATTGTTCAGCTCCCACTTATGAGTGAGAACATAACAACATAAATTTATACACAGTTATGGAGGCTGAAAGTCTAAGATCAAGGCTCTGGCAGATTTGGTGTCTGGTGAGGGCTTGGTTTCTGCCTCTAAGATGATGCCTTGAGCACTGCTTCCTCTGGAGGTGACCAGTAATGTCTTCACATGGCAGAAGGGATTGAAGGGACTAGCTAGCTAGTTTTATTATCAAGCCCTTTGATAATATAACTAATCCATTCATGAGGGCTGACTGCTCATGACTTAATCACCTCCTAAAGGCCCCGCCTGTTAATTGAGTCCTACATTTGGAATAATCTTCAGATCTACCTCTTTGTCAAAAAGTGAGATTCCTAACATTTAACCTTGGATAATTAATAACCAAATGATACTGGAGTTTAATGCATCTTCAAGTTAATATATGTGGTATGATAGCAGGAATACCAAGGTTATTTTATTTTAAAGTGGATTTATTTCATTATTTGTTTGTTTGTTTGTTTGTTTAGGTAGAGTTTTGCTCTTGTTGCCCAGGCTGGAGTGCAGTGGTGCAATCTCAACACACTGCAACCTCCGCCTCCCGGGTTCAAGTGATTCTCCTGCCTCAGCCTCCCAAGTAGCTGGGATTACAGATGCCCGCCACCACAACCAGCTAATTTTTGTATTTTTAGTAGAGACAGGGTTTTACCATGTTGGCCAGGCTGGTCTTGAACTCCTGACCTCAGGTGATCTGCCAGCCTCGGCCTCCCAAAGCACTAGGATTACAGGCGTGAGCTGCCACGCCCAGCCTGTAAAGTGGATTTTATACTTTTATATCTTGGTTATTAATATGGTCAGAGGTACCAACATTTTAAAACCATAATTAATGAAAAAATAAATCACTGTACTAAAATAATATAGGAAAGTTCTATTAATTTTGAGTTAAATTGTTTTAATGTAAAAATTTTGCCTGATATTTCATATTTATCTTCAGAATGTATGATTTTGAAATAATTGTGTCTTACATGTATTACAGGTCACCGTATCATCAGCCAACCTCATACAGGCCACGCTTACTGCTATCTGGAGAACGGGGCTCAGGTCAAACTTCTCACCTTGCTCCAGCACTTTTGCACACTCTAGAAAGATTCTCTGTGCATAGACTAGATCTCCCAGCACTTTATTCAGTTAGTGCCAAAACACCTGAGGAATCATGTGCACAGGTAGGTTTGTATCACATCAGAGCACTTCTGACTTTCTTATTGCTTATATTTTGGTAATATTTCTAGTGTGTAGTGTTTACAGATAAGATTTTTCAGAGTATGATATGAATATTAACTTTTTGTTGGTTATTCATTAGCATTCTAGTATTAGTGTAAAGGATCCTTTTGATGCATACAGTTTTTTAGGTGAGCTCTTTGTCTTTCTCATGATCTTCCTTACTGAAATTTTAATACCCTGTTTCATTATGCATTGTATGTAGAAAGGGAGTTTATTTTGCCTTTTTCTGACCCTCTGTTCAAAGCTGTGGTGTCAGAGCAGTTTCAGACTTTTGTCTTTTCTTAGAGCCTTATCATAGAAAGGGAAATGATACCCAGTTTGAGATATCAGAATTTAATATTCATATTAGAATAGTGATAGCCGTTCAAAAATTACAGATATTTGTGTTGATAGTTGTGTGTTTGATATTTGACTTTCAATTATTTTATATTTACTGGTTTGTGAAGCAAAGTTCTAGTGGGGCTGTTTATATTTCTTGAGGTTGTTATATATAACCATGGATATATTATGTCATATTGAAACTAGGGATGAGGGTAATACATTTTTTGAGCTAAGGAACCATATCTAAGCCATTTTTGTAACTCTGACAAGGTGTCCAGCTGATAGTGGTCATTAAATGTTTGAATAATAGTGTTTCAAATAAATAAATTAGAGAAAGGAATGCCACTTTGTAGTTTGCTACTTAGCCTACTTTTAGAGTTAGATAACTGGAGTAGTAACACTTAAAACATTTCACACAATTTTGTTGTTTTTTTCCCAGTTATGTTTTCCAAATAATAAATATACTATAATTGGCCATTTCCTACATTGTAGCAAGAAATATGCATTTTTTAAACAATTCATAGTAGTATTGATTTAGTTTCTCTTTTACTCACAGTCTCTGGATATGAACACTCTACCAGCACTTTATCACTTTTAAAGCCCTATTTAAAGGTTTCTTTTTCCAAAACCCCTGAATTAAATGCTATCCTCCAGTATTTTGCTCCCAGTTTGACACATTTAACTCATCCTGGATGTGTTTTCCAATAATGTTGATTTATATATTTACTCGTATTTTTCTTTTTAGAGAGACAAAATTACTGCAGGTTGTATGCAGTAAGAGAATTACTCAGTACCATTTAAAATAAACCCAAATGATTTAGTAGAAAAATATAAATCAACAAAATTGACCCCAGAGAGGAGAGACTCTAAACAAATCACTGTGGAAGAAGAAATTCAGCACGTATCTTAAAGCCATTAAACATAGATGGTTTCACAGGTGAATTATTTTAATCTTAAAGGATAAGATCATTTTAATGCTAGTCAAACTGTTCCAAGGCATAGGAATAGGAGGAAAGCTATGAAATTGGCAAAACCAACAATATCACATCTTTCAGGGAAATACAAAATAAAACTGTAGGCCAATCTCATTTAAGCAGTGATCACAAAGAAACTATTACAAATGAAATCTAGTAGCGCAACAAAAGAGTAATGTAACATTACTAAAGCATGTAAGATTAATTCAGTTAGACATTGAGAGATACAAGTATTGGAAAGGATACATTGAATTTGTAAGCATTTGCCTATGATATGATTAATTATATGGAAAACTTACAGTGTCAACT